TGTTTAGTGTCATTTTACAGCTGAATTACACAATCAGTCAAGAAAACCAAAGAACTACAACTCCCCACTCTGGAAATATCTTCACCCTTGTAATAATAATAATAAAAATCCCACACAGCAATCAAAGATATTTCTATAAATATAAAGTACCGTATATAAAAAATGATTATCATGAAACCCATATATAAATCATACATACTAGAATTCCACTTTCTGATATATTTGTAAAGACAAAGTTTCAGCACTCTCCAATAACAGTGTCCATATATTTTATGCCTATTGCCAGTCATAATGTTGTAGCTTTACAGTGAGGGCTATACACCACACCCTTCTACTGTATACCAAGATTTTAAAGTAGCCCCTTTGAAGCCTTTCCAGAACTTGCTCATGACCCTATGTGCTGCCACCAGAATAAATCCATTTAAAGGTTTGTCAGTCATGTCCTGATTTTAATTTGTAAATGGGCCCAGTAGTGCCAACTCTGAGGTCTTCACAACTTGCTGGTGTGTGATTTTGTCAATTTCCTCAATTATCTGATCCCAGAATGTTGATACTTCCAGGCATGACCACCACATAAGGCTATCAAATTGCTCCTATCATTGCAGCCTCAACAACATAATGCCAAATTATTTCTATAAAAATATGAAAATTTAACTTTAGTAGGATACCATATTCCCCCCTTTTCACAACGAAAACAAAAATAATTACAATAAATGCAATAAATTAAAATAAGCAGATAAAAGCAATTTTTAGCAACTTTGTGCCCTCCAATTGTTTTGGACTTTAGTTCCCACCATCCCTGATCATTTTCCATGCAGGATGGGGCTGATAAAAATTGTAGTCTAAAACATTTTAGTCTCTCTGAAAGAAAGGACCCACTTGCAATGGACATAATTGGTTATACTGATGAACTCCTTTCACAATCATGAAATCCTCCTAAAGTTCAACCAAAATATATTCTCCTGTATTTTAAGCCATTAGATCTAATCCTTGGGCAGTAGGGAACAAGTTTTACCCCCTTTCAGATGACTGAAGAATTCATTCCATGTCTTCCATTGGTCTAAGCTAAATTTACTCAATTGCTTCAATGCTTCCTCAATTCAGATCGTCTTCCTGCCCTCCTCTGAATCCATTCTGTGTGCCCTAATACCATGCTGAAAGTGAACAGACCACAGTTCACTGGCAGTACATGTTTGGTATGAAAATGGTTGCAGGTTCAATCCCCAGCATCTCAAGGTAGGGATTGGAAAAGATTCATGTCAGCATAGACACTACTGAGGTAGGTTCATTTCTTCCTATTTATTGACACAATGCTTAGCCAAACTATGGCTTAGTCCCAAGCAATGTTCCAGCAGGATGACTAGAGAAGGAATGCAGTGGCCATGATCTTCACTGTGGGAGCCCACACCTTTGCTTGTTCATAGCAAGCCATGGTTGGGGCTCAGGGTATGTGCAAATTGGGCCAGAGAATGATAAGGAATAGCTGAGAGTGACTGGTTCCAGCTAAGTATGAGGACTGCTGAGGTTTGAAGATGTATGAATCCCCTGGGCTTTTCCTCTGGGTGCATGTATCAAAACACTTTGACAGACATTTCAGTACCAAGATCTCTTAGAAGAAACTGTTCAAGGCCTTCCTCTAAGATGTGGAGCAGTCCAGAGTAAAGGGAAAGTGCTGGAGACTAGAAAGCTATGCAACTGAATGTATTACTCTAGTAGAGCTCCAACTGGTGCAGCATAAAGTGGAACCATTATGGTACTTCCTGTGACCTGGCAACTGTGGTTGACTTGGAAACAATGGCTCCAAGCCTATTTACATACATGTCCAAGCTCTCTGCATCTTTTTCAAGCATATCCCACTAGAGCCTTCCCAAATATTTATTTGGAAGGAAGGGGGGTCTTTGAGAGAAATGGCTGCAGACAAAAGCATGCCATAGAGCTGCGATATGGGTTTTATTTATTTTCCCCCTTGTACATTTGCTATTTTGAAATTCAGATGATTTGCATATCAGACCATTGAGGCAATAAAACCAAGGACATTAGAGCTCACAGCAATTTTGTTTCACTGTGTTAATTAGCAGGCACTTGGGGGAAATGGATGGCAACAGTCTTCTCCCCATATATAATTTTATCAACAAAGTTATGGATAAGCCAGAAGAGGAGAAGGGGGGAGTTCCTGAGCAGATTCCTGAAACAGCCCCATAAATCCTGCTAATTAATGGCAACTGAAAGGAACAAATGACTCTTGCTGATTTCAATCTCAGATTATATAGAAAGGTGAACAACACAACATGTTGCCACATTTGTCACCAAAATCTAACTAAGGGTAGCATAATGAATCAGCAAACTCAAGAGAGAAACTATCAGGTACCAGGTATGTATATTTGTCAGTCCAACCCAGTGTCTGGGAGAATTTTATTACAAAGGGAAACAGGAGTGGGAATTCCACTGGGTCACATTCCACTGAGGTTATGGATGGAAAAGATGCAAGTGAATATGAGCTGCTTCTTTTAGTCCTCAAATGTTACATATTTGTTATTTTCTTCATTGTTTGGATGTCATTCTTCCACTGAAATGCATTGATATTAATGACATCATTAACTAAGTACATTTTGGGCATAGCAGATAGCAAAATGAATAACATAGATTTTAGCAAAACTGCCACAGAATGGAAATGAGCCCGTGATAGGACAGAAATCACTGCCTCCTCACATTCCTCTCTGCTACCTAGTCTTTTTTTAAACAAGAGATGCTAGGGATCAAGTTGGAGACATTCTGCATGTCTGTGGCCACTACCTGGAAAAGTTTTATTGCCTAGGGCAGCCTTCCCCAAACCTAGTAGTCTCCAGGTGTTGTTGGACTGCAACTCCTTTCAGCCCTGGGTCAACACTACCAATTCTCAAGGGTGATGGGAATTGTAGTCCAAATCATATGGAGGGCTTTGGGTTGGAAAGGTTGCTCAAAGGGAATAAACTGACTTTTCCCAATCTCATGCCTTCTTGACATTTTGGACTACAATTCCCATAAGCGCCATCCTGCATGACCAACATCTGGAGGGTACGAGGTTGGAAAAGGATGACCTAGAGAGATGGCATAGCCTGTAGCCCTGATGTTTTATAGCACAAACCTAGTGTGCACAGAATGGTTTGGGCTCCAGCAAATCCCAGCATGTGGTTTCAAACATTCATGAGCTAGAAAATAGGAATTCCTTCCACAGCTGTTCTTTTACACTCCAGTTTTCAACCTGAATGCCCTTAAGTGTTCCTATGTCCCCATGGCTCTAGACCAGCTCCAAAAAACCCACTGCACTTATGTCAGATCTTCTACATCAGGGGAATTGCCAGCATGAAAAAGAAAACAAACTCTGGTAATGTGGACATTTACATACTAAAACCCCAAAATAACAGCACTTAGGAATGTTTGCCCAGATCCCACACTAGGAATAGGAGAGAAATTTGTTTGCACTTCTAAAATCAGGGATGGGGAAAATGGATTCAACCAGAGGGTTAGGGGCTGCCCACCTGCCAATCACATGGTGGCATATGATTTAAACTGCAGACTGCGGCTACAACAGAAGACTTAACATTTGTTAAGTGTGCTCTAGAGTCATACTTTCCTGACTGAATTCAGAACTTTTTGAATTTGATACTTTCTGTTGCCACAGTGAAAACAACACATACTATTTTAAGGGAAATTTGCATGCAAAATACAAATATTAGTCAATATTGTGAGCAAATGATTATTAATATATATTTATTTATACCCCACCTGACAGAAATCAAAGTGACTTATGCGTGGGGGGGAATAGGAACAGCTAAAAAAAATAGTGGGGAAATCCATTAAAAACAAGTAACTTTTATAGAATTATAACCACACACACACACACAAAAAGAAATAAATTTAAATATATAATTACAATACAAACAGCACAGCACAGCACCAGCCCTTTCATTAAAAACAGTCAGTTCCCAAAAACCTTTTGCAACCAGCCTGTTGCTGGCAGTACAAGGAAGGAGCCAGTCATATAGCTGGAAGAGATGAGAAACTGAAAGGAAGTGACGGATCACCCACACCATCCCATAAATTCCCGAGAGAGAAATGTCCCAACAAATTGTACGTTCATAATGTGGCCACGCTTGCCTTCCTGCCTCTTCGCTAATGCATGTGCATTAATGGGTTGCAACTGTTTCCCCAGGGAGAGGACACCTGGGCATTCCATTTCAGGAAGTGTCTTCGCAAGCGCTTTAGTTTTTACACCATTTTCAGGAAGAGATAGGCTCTTCTCTGGCCTTTTTTATTGACTACAAAACAGCCGGATAGTTTCAGAGTAATAGCAGCCATTAGGAAGGAGAATAGGAAATAAAATAAACTTTTATTGCGTAAGTAAAAGCTTTGAGTCCAGTCTCTGTGCAGACGGCCCTCTTCTTCTTTAAACTGATCGAGGATGCAGAGCCAAGCCTCCCCTCTATGGCCTATGGCTTTTTAAAAGCCGCAGATCAAGTTATTTTAAATTGATCCCTGCAAGCCCACTTCCACCCCCTGCACTCAAGCACAATTTTGAGAGCTCCAAGCAAACACTCCACCTTCCCCAAGTCTTTGAGCCTTGGCATGTGCTTTGACAAACAAACAGCAGAAACAACTCTGTACTGCAGAGAGAAATAAGATTTTTTAAACAGAGGAAAGTTTAGCAGTACATTATGTTCTGCCTACGGCAATTATCCCATAAAAGATATTGCTGTAGGAAAGTGTAAAATGTCATCCAGATCTTGAAAATGAGGTGGGGCGGGGAGAGCAGGTACCAAACACGCATAAACAATCTGGTAAGCACTATTGTCCACCTTTCTTTCCCTGCCTCCAACCCCAGGAACCTCTTCTTATTTTTAGTGCTGATGCTTAAAGTTTTAAGAGCATTGATCAGAGCAAGTTGCTGCCAAACACAGAAGAGAACGCTGAGGAACATAAAAAGTACAATTTCTAGTCACTTTTTTCTTTCTTTTTCTTTTAGTCGAGAAAAGCTGCTTATTAGCTTTGGAAAATTGGGGCCTTGGAGACCGACTCACCTTTCAAAGAAAGCTATAAACAGATAATGGGCCTGTTTCAGTTCCCATTTAATCAACCAGACTTTGCCTCCCCCCCACATTGCCTTTACGATTAAGCCCTACATCAGATTCTCCAACAAATGTTCAATCCCCTTCAGGACACTAACCAATATGTGCAGGCGACAACCAATAGTTTTATATAAAAATTTGCATTTGGCTAACGATAGAAAGAGATGGGGGGGGGGGGTGCACTGCATCTTTCTTTCTCCCCATCTACCTTTGCCCACGGTTGCAAGCACATTTACCCAGTTTGAAGCTGACACAGAATTTCTGTAAAACCAAATCATCAGTGAGGCCAGAGTCATTACATAAGAGTGCGGCTTGATCACAAAACAGCTAAGAACCAGTTAATGGGGAACCTAATGCTGACTGTTAAGGGTGAAAAACAACTTAACAAGGAGGGCTCTGATAGCTGCAGTGAAAATGAGTTGAGCAAGTTGCATTTCAAGGATCGTGGCTGGATGACGAGATGGGGAAGAAATGGGATGGCAAATATGTTTCCCCCCATCTTTCTCCTGTATAGAGGGTGTCATAATGGAAAGCTCCTATGGACTCTTCTGTCCTGTAGTTCATTACTGAATAAAGTCTGACCAATTATGAATTTGGTGTGAGCCTCCATCTTGAACCCCTGAGGGAAATTTCTACCATAAAGCCTTCAGGGATGACACTTAAAACAAGACTAAAACTCTAACAAGTGGATATTCGTGGAAAGACTATCTCCTTCTCTGCAGCCACACTAAGATCCCTGCTCCAAGTTACTACAGAGCAGGATTCTGAGATCTTTTGAAGTTGCAGGAGAAACCTCCACAGACCTCAGAAATCTGTTGGGTGCATAAGGGATAAGGTGGTCTCTCAAGTAACCTGGTCTTGAGCTTTTCTAGGGACTTAGAGGTTAGTACCAGCACTTTGGTAGCCAGTGCAAATCACACAAGCATTATACCTCCAGGCAGTTGCAAAAATAAACAAGGGCATTTGAACTAGCCACTGGTAGCAGTAGATGGGAACCTAAAAGCAACTAGGGCATTACAGAAGACAAGAGGTCTTTTGGATGTTCATTTGGCCCACTTTCCCATCCCCTTGAGTGTTTTTTTGCTACCTGGAACAACAATTATATTTCTATCCTCCCCTTCCTCCCCATATAGTAAAAACAATTAAAACCAAAACACTTTAAAAACAATTACAAAGAATTATGAGCACCTAAAAACATTTAAATGTGTCCTTGGACTCTGATAACACTTCTTGCTTGGCTGCAGGGAGGATAGAGAGTGATGTCTGCTTGTCTGTAGAAACAAATCTATTGTACCAAGGAAAAATAAACATTCACGGTTCCACTCACTTTTCCCTGAGGTTCTACTTTCCATGAGCATGTGGCCCCTAGAAGGGAATCCAGCCCTCATACAGAGAAGGGTTCACCATCCCAATTTTGTACTGTTTCAAATATCTCTTTCCCCTCATTTTGTATAATAAGTCTTTCACTTTCACTGGTTAAACTGGATGGGGACAAAAAACCCCAAGAAACAGTCTTTGACTCTCTGTGCTCTCATAAAATTGCTTGCAATGTAGAAAGAAGAAATAGCTATTTGTTTGCCCTAATCTTTTGTTTCATCCAGTTAATAAATGTTCCTTATACTTAGGGAGACCAATCCCAGTTCCACACCCTGTAAGGGGCATAGTTTTGGAATGCTAGTATTATTTTTCCTGGCTTGGTCAAAGAACAGCATTGCTGGTAAAACAACAAAATAACATGTTTGCAAAATGGAAAAGAATGAAAAAAGCTTTCCAGGGTTTTTTTAAAAAATATTTAAATAAAAATGAGAGCATGTGGGGTGGGGTGTCACACTATTATACAATGCTGGGAAATGGTCTCCAAAGAGCACTTTATATCAATAGAAAAACAAACATCTTTTGTGCAGTAAATATCTGGAAGGGAATCAAATAATACCCACACAAAAACTTTTTGTTTTTTTTGCAAATTATTGCGAACACACATTAAACAAAATAAGAGCTATACAAAAAGGAAGTTGGGTTACAATTGATTTGCATGTACATGGACCTGCACACTATATTATTTTTTATGCCACTCCAGAAGAAAGTGTAATCACACTTCTGTACAGAATCACAAGGTTGTTTAAAGCAGACTCCTATGCTAGGTTCATGCACATATATGGTATGGCTCGTTTTATTCAACCCAACCTAATATGAATTCCTATTGACAAATTACCACTTTACTGTATACAGCTTTAGTCAGAACGCACCTGGAGTACTGTGTCCAGTCCTGTGCACCACAGCTTAAGAAGGGTATGGACAAGCTGGAACATGTGCAGAGGAGGGCGATCAAGATGATCAAGGGTCTGGAAACCCAGCCTGATAAGGAACAGTTGAAGGAATTGCGTATGTGATCCTCAAAACTATAGTGGGTTAGTTTCACTGCAATTTACATAGAGAATTGGCACGGGACTACCCTAGAAGAAGAAGAAGAAGAGTTTGGATTTGATATCCCGCCTTTCACTCCCTTTAAGGAGTCTCAAAGCGGCTAACATTCTCCTTTCCCTTCCTCCCCTCTGTGAGGTGAGTGGGGCTGAGAGACTTCAGAGAAGTGTGTCACCCAGCAGCTGCATGTGGAGGAGTGGAGACGCGAACCCGGTTCCCCAGATTACGAGACTACCGCTCCTAACCACTACACCACACTGGCTCAACCCTAAGCCTCAAGCTGGGTTTTGTTAGGCCCATCACAACTTTTAGGTAATGCACTAGAAAGAAGGAACACTAAATTTAGCACAATGAATGCACATGTGGAGTCACTAACAACCAGCAAGTTAATGGTGGCTCTGTCCAGTTGTGTGGAGAGCTTGAGGCTTGCAGAGAGAGCACCTAGTGTCTGGTGAAAGAAATCAGGACAAAGAAGAAAGCAAATAAGCAAAGGACATTGGACAGCTACAGAGGATCCTACTAGTTGTCCCAACCAAGGACAGTTACAGGAAAATGTTGTCTCAGCAGGGAGGCAGAACCAACTGAAGCCTTTTGGCAGATCTCAGGTGTGGCAGGCTTTGCCTCCCTGGAAGAACTGGATAGGTGTTTAAATGCTCTTTGATTTACTTTGTAAATATCTGACTTCTGCAATGCAGGGGAGATAGCAATGCTGCAACAAACTCACATTTTGAGTCAGTGGTGTAGCCTACAAAAGGTACAGATAGTCCTTCCCCTGAGGAAGCAGCCCAACCTCATTCTTACCAGAGTTCTTTCCTGCATCCTACAAAGCCCTTGGGTCATTGGTAATGACACCTCCTTAGTGCAATCCCCTCTTCTCCTGTATGAAAATGGTTATCTGGTTTATTTTGAAGAAATGTCTCCAGGTTAGAGACACATTTAAAGCACCAACTTTCCAACAGTAATAGCATGTAAATAATTACATTACATAAAAGCAATATTTGGTTTCATTTGTCTGGTATAAAATGTTTGTATCATTATTCTTATTTTCATAATATGGTGGCAGAATGTGAATGCCAATGTTTTCCCTGCCTTTGTTCCCCACCTTGTTCCAAAGAGTAAGTTTGTCTCTCCCCCGTCTTGTTCCAACTCTGTGCAACCCTGAAGCTATTTCACTTGTCACAACTAGTTAATGTGGGGTAAATGACAATACCCTTTACTTTTTAACTTCTGACACTCAGCTGAACTTGCTTTGAGAGGAAAAAACAGGTAGAAATATGATCTGAGAAAAACAATGGGGAAAATAGCTATAAGGCATAAGAAATAAGAATTGCTTTTGAGCTTGTGATAAAATTATTTCAAAGTGCCAGGTAAATTGAACAAGTGGCCTTTTACTACAGTGTAGTCTGTGACATGACAACAAATTTCAGTCATCGGTGTCATAGCAGAGGACCACTTACTTCATAGAGATAACTTCATAGGGCATCATCTACCAGCACAGCCTGATTCATGTTTGCTCAGAATGCAGCCCAGCTTGCTCCTAGGCAAGTGGATCCAGCAGTCAAGAAGGCAGTTACTGCATGTAGAGGGAAATGAGGGACAGATGGGACTCATTAAGCTGGGAAGGTAGCCCAACTAGCAGAAGCAAAACTCTCATTCGAAACCTATGCTGTCTTGTGGATACACTCATTCATGAGAAAGGCTTCAGGAGTAAACCCTGAGGAAAAATAAGTACCCCTGGAGGAACACTCCATTGCCTCTCGAGACAGACAGGTGGCAACAAGGTAACATTGAATGCATTTGTTGATTACATTAGCAAGGGTGGGGAATCTGTGGCTCTCCAGATACCACTGACCTGCAGTCTCCATTATCCCTGAACATTGACCATGTTGCCAGGAGCTGATGGGAATGGGAGTCAAATAGCAGTAGTGTTCCCATTCTTGGATACGATGCCTTATGAGGAACGGCTAAGGGAGCTGGGCATGTTTAGCCTGGAGAAGAGGAGGTTAAGGGGTGATATGATAGCCATGTTCAAATATATAAAAGGATGTCACATAGAGGAGGGAGAAAGGTTGTTTTCTGCTGCTCCAGAGAAGCGGACACGGAGCAATGGATCCAAACTACAAGAAAGAAGATTCCACCTAAACATTAGGAAGAACTTCCTGACAGTAAGAGCTGTTCGACAGTGGAATTTGCTGCCAAGGAGTGTGGTGGAGTCTCCTTCTTTGGAGGTCTTTAAGCAGAGGCTTGACAACCATATGTCAGGAGTGCTCTGATGGTGTTTCCTGCTTGACAGGGGGTTGGACTCGATGGCCCTTGTGGTCTCTTCCAACTCTATGATTCTATGATTCTTATGTTACTGCAAAATTCAGGTGGTTCTTGGCCAACACCATGACCAACCTGAGTCTGCCCACAGGAAGTTCAAAATGCTTTAGCCACACATTCTTGCTAGCTGTTGTGTGTCATTTGTTAAGTATAATTGTTTAATTCACAGTGAAATGGTTATGCCTGTGTATTGGAATTATATTTTATTTCTAAGATGCTGAGCCTGTGCTGAACAGCACAAGATATTGCATGGAATTATTTTTGATGTTATTGTTCTGTTTTGAAGAAAGATCTGCAAGTAAAGTTTTTGAATGGTATCTAATGGGTCTGGGCAATATTTCATTCCTAAAGGAGTAAGTTTTTTATGCATCCAGTCACTTTCATCTGTGCAGTATTTATATCTGCAATATCATTGACAGACACAAGGATCTTTCTTGCCCTGGAAAATCAAAGTCTTCTGATTGCTTGCTTTGCATAAAAAGCCTCCAAGCAATCTTCAGCAGTTTGTTGGCCAAGTTCCAACTATTGCATCCATTCACACTTTTTACTTAAGAGATGTTCAAAAGCAATTAAGCAAGAGCAATCAATATCAGAAAAAGAGAGCAATTAGATCATGAAGACAAACATGGTTAGACAGTGACTAGAGAGAAACTCTGATTTAATTCCTTTCCCCAAAGCTCAGTGAAGGAAGGTCAAATCCAGAGAACATGTAAGCCTGTCCCCTGTTCTTCTCTTATTCCACAAAAACTTATATATGCCATAATTACAATTAGTATTCAAAGGTGCTGTAAACTCTTTTGTTACTTCTAACCAGGATAGTCATCCTGGCACTCTTTGGTTGACTCATTTACCTGGGACAAGGGAGAGATGAATCCAGAACACCTGGTCTTTGTAAGAGTTGCCTTTCAGCCCAGTGGACTCTGAATCACCCCTTGAATGCATACACGGATTCCAGATCGAAGAAGTCAATCAGTTGTTAATGCCCCAAAATTCCTGAGCCACTCTTGAGAATATTTATTGATGTATGAGTGGATCTCAGTGAGTTTGGCAATGGTTTACTGGTGAGCTTATTCATGCAAGCATTTGAAATTTTGCAAGACAAAGAAACAGTGAGAAAATAAAGTGCACTGAACGGTTTATGCTCTTAGTAACCATTGGGAAGGTTCCAGGGAACACTGCTGAGAATGGGTATAGACATCGTCTATGCAGAGTCCATTCAGTGAAACTCCTCTAATGTTTCTTGACAAAGTCATTTAGATGCTGCCTTCAGGGAGGCAATGAAGAATGAGAGAGCGCTTTCTCCGGGAAGTGTCCTGAATCATGAGACACCATGACTCAGTGTTCTCGTTCTCTCTCTCATACACACACATGCACACACAAAACCGTATCTTCCATGCCCTATAAGCTTATTTTCATGCTTTCATGCATGCAAAATTGGTGAGCTCATGAGACAGAGAGTTCATTGTATATCAAACTGTGCACTCACTGTGAACAGCTGATAGGATTGCCCAATGCCTGGGATAGTCTTGGGCAGCTTGGGAACTGGATTTTTCCTACTTTACTGGCCTATTGCCAAAAAAGTGTCCTCCCAGACACTTTCTATTTCCAGCCTTTCAGTTTCTAAGGTCCCAGAAGTCCTGACCAACTACATTTTGCATGGATCTTTGCACTGGGCGTGACCTATAAGGTCTAGAGGCCTAAGGAAGGCCACCTGACAGCCTTCAAATTCCTTGTCTTTCTTCAAGTTGTGTTGCTGTTGTTGCTTGCATTTATTGCCCACCTATTTTTTCTCCAAGGAGCTTGAGGTGGTGAACAATCAAGGTGTTTTGTGCAATCAGGCCCCTGATTCTCATGACTCCTGAGCACACATAGGGAATATATACCACATGCATAGATACTTTTCAGACCTTCACGAGAATAGATGGAGGTCAGAAGCAAATACAGCAGGCACCAATTCAAATCACCCACATATTCACTGAATGTGTAAAAAGACATTAGGGTCACATTCACACCATTCATTTTAAACACTATGATACCACTTTAAACTGCCATAGCTTCCTCCAAAGATTTCTGGGAGCTGTAGTTTGTTCACAGTCCTGAGAGTTTTTAGGGGACTCCCTAATCCCCTCCCAGAGCTTCAGTTTTTAAAAAGGTTTGACAATCAATCCCCCTTCATGGGGAACTCTGGGAGAGGTAGCTCTGGGAGGGGAATAGGTGTCTCCTAGCAACTCTCAGCACTTTGAACAAACTACAGCTTCCATAATTCCTCTTTAAAGTGGTATCATAGCACTTTCAATGTAAGGTGTGAGTGTGCCCTAGTGTCCTCTGTTTTGCAACTGGAAGAAGATTCCAATCTACATCCTTTCCCCTTGAACCAATATTTCACTCTCCCTCCCCTATTTCCACAGTTCCCGTATTTTGTTGATTACTCTCAATTTGATTACTCTCTCCCACCTGCAACACTGAATGCTTTAATTTCTCCACCATTTCAGTGCCTCCAGAGCACCACTTCTTTCCATTCATCAAAAGCTGGTTTTGTACCATTTAATTCAGTTAAGTGTTTTTGGGCTAGAAGGCGTCGTCGTACAAAATAAACTTTATGTTAAACTTAATTACATGGTGAATTATTTTGGAAGGGGCATGTCAATTTGGCAAGGTCTGGATGGGAGTGTTATGTAAAACAAGATTTATGCTGGAGAGCTTGCAAATTAAAGGCCTCTACTCTACAATCCACTCAAGCCAGGCTCACATCAACACACATTTAAAGGAAAAGAAAGACAAATGTGTGCCTTGTAGCTGAATCCATTACTTCTTCCTTATTCACTAGAGTTGCCCCCTATGGAGAAGTTCCGACTGTGGGGTTTCTCTAGCTCTGAAGGAAGTGAAATAAGTTTTGATAAAGTCTAGTGAAATTTCCAGTGGGGATGGACTTCACCACATCCCTACTATAAATGCAGAGATATATATTTTTTGTACTTGACTCAAAGTGCTACCAGCAATATGGCCAGCACATATGGATGAACGGAATAACCTTCATGGAGCAGTTGTTTCTATGTGGCTGATCACCAAGCCAAATTGTGCAAATGTTGAACTTAGTTTCCAACGTTTTATTGCAATGCAGATAAGTTTCTTTCACACAGTTTGCCTCCATGTTACCATCAAGCATTGCAGGCAGGCATGGTTAAACAAAAACAAAAACGAAAGAACAAAAACAAAACATCTGTAGTGCTGAAAAGATTAGGGATAGGAAAATTTGTCAATTTCTGTTTCTCTCCATTTCTCTTTTTAACCCAGTTTTCCATATTTCCACATTTGTTTGCTAAAGTCTTCATGGACATTCATCAGCATTTTTGTATGAATTTCTCCTAATATGCACCTGTCTGTATGCATTCTGGTTTGTTTTGGTTTTGGTTTTGTTTTTTTGTAATAGACACATTTTGAAAAACAAGACAAGGGATGTGGAACATTGCAGAACTTGATCCAGTAGAAAGAGTGAAGCAATGCTTGAATTACAATATAGAGGCAGGTGAAGGCAACCCTTCAGTGATTGTTGTTAGAAGGATTCTGGGACAGGACAGAAGTGGGCATCAGGATGCATAGCTAGTGCAGAGATGGGGAACTGGGAAACCAGATGCTGCTTTACACCAGCTCACATGAGTCCCACCCAGCAAAGCTAATGGTCAGGGATGATGGGAGTTGTAGTCCAACCACATCTAGAGGGCTACAGGTTCCCCACCCCTGGTGTAAACAATACCAAATCAAACCAAGTCAGCCCATTGATCCTTTTAACTCAGTATTATCAACATAGGGAGAATCATATGTTGGTAAAATATGGGTTAGATCATAGCTCAGCACACAGAAGATCTCAAGTTAAATCCATGGCATCTCCTGCCAGAAGTCATAGAGAGACACTGTCAGTCAATGCAGATAATGTCCAGATGCACCATTGGTCTAGCTTGGTATAAAGCCACTTCCTATGCTCCTTGTCATAGACTATACAAAGAAGGATTACACTTGCTGGTCCCAACACTATGTTCAGTCCAACTCCTGAAAAACATACAAAAACTCTACATGAAGCCTGCAGCTGCTTGTACAGGCATGTAGGCATAGCAACAAACACGGTAGCGGAGAGGAGGGACCAGCAATCCCACTCCTCCCCATGTGCCTGTTGATTAACCTTGGTAATGTCAGCACAATCCTTGTGAGCAGCCGTCCCAACCTAGGCAGTTTCCAGCAGCCTGTCTCTCTTCCTCCCAAGGTAGCCATCTTGTGAGAAGCAACCGCGAGTTGCAGAAAAGTGCTGGCTTCTTCGTATGCAACCCCCCTTCAGAGAAAATGTAATTTTCTCAGACACTGTGCCATGCCACCCCATATGTCATTGTCTTTTACACAAGAGTTGCCTGGCTGGAAATGAAAAATGGGCAAAGCTCCCAGTGTGCGAATGTGTGTATGCCTGAATGTGTGTGCGCCTCTCTCTTTCCTCTGCCGTCTGCAAGCTTTGGAATTCTCAAGGCGTTTATTTGTCAAAAGCAGTAGAGCAGTGGAATTTCTGCAGCACGTTCCTTCCATGAGAGCCACAGAGTTCAAAGACGGCTGCAGCGTGCAAAATAATAAAGACAAAATGAACAAAACAGG